GGGCCGGGAGCCGGGTGGCAGGGCCGGGCCGGGGCTGGTACCTGTGGGCCGGTGCGCGCAGGCTGAGGAGCCCCCTCAGGCTTGCAGCTCCGGACTCCTGTGCCCAGGGTGGCGCCTGACTGGGAGGCAGCAGGGGGTGATGGGAAGGGCAGGCCGAGGTCATGTGACCAGCAGCTCAGCCCATGTGACCCGGGCCAGGGAGCCCCTCAGCTGCGGCTCCTCCTGCCTCCAGCACCCTGGGCTCACCCTCTGCACCTCCGGGAGGCCGTGGGGAGGCCGTGGGGAGGCGGAGGTGCGGAGGCTCCGGGTGCAGCTTCCCAGCCCCGCTGCTCCCCGGCTCTCCTCAGGCTCTCCTGCCAACCTGCCTCCTCCCGCCCACGGGCTCCTCAGCGAGGCCCAGGCTGAGGAGAATGGGGGGAGCCGGCCCGGGACTCGACGCCCTGTTCCCAGGGAACTGACGGGCCATCTGAGCACGCGGAGACCGCCCATCTCAACGCTGCACTGCATCCTGGCCTCCATCACGGCCCGGGCCTCTCACCAGCCTCCCGTCCTGTCACTTCAGCTCCGAATTCCAGTTCGCTGAGCCCCTGGCTAGAAGAGCCTCTCACGTGGGTGTCACTAGAGAGGACCACGTCAGGTGTCCCACCTACGCCCTGCGCTTGACAAAGCTCCTGCCCTTGGAGAAGGGTGAGAGCACGCGTGAGTCCGACCCCCTCGGGGGCAGGGGAAGAAGCCGAGGCTCCTCAGAGACTGGGGGCAGTCTCCGCTGCCCTACGGCAGAGCTGGGATTAGAACTCAGGGCTCTTTCTTCAACATTCTCATTTCTTTGTTTGTTTGTTTTTTGGAGGTTTTCGCTATAGGGCGCATGCGCTCGCCAGACAGAGAGCGACAGACATAGAGACAGAAAACGAGAAATCACCCCCCAGGGGGGATGGTCACGCCGCAATCCCTTCTCCTCCATTCTCCTCTCGGGATCTTGGGCACGCACGCATACGCGCCCGGCGTGTTTTAAGCCACCGGGTCTGGGACGCGAACCGCGGTCGACTACGTGGGAGTCCAGCAACATAGCCATTACGCTAACTGCTGGTTCCCAACATTCTCATTTCTTTACATCAAACGCCAGGACCTTGTTCACACTTACTCAACCCCCCCTACATGCTTCCACTTTGGCCTGTCTCCATTTACAATCTCTCTCTCACGCTTCCATCATGCCAAGCTCATATCTTCCTTCAAATCCCTGCTCGTCTAATGACGATCTCCAGAGCAAACTCGACCAAACTTCTCTAGGCCCTTCACTGCCCCAGGAGGATTGTCAGGCTTCCATACCCAGGACATCCTGTGGTTTTGGTCTGCCCTTGTGTTTCTCTCACATAGCCAGATGGGAGTGTGTGTGTGTGTGTGTGTGTGTGCATACATGCACACATTACCTGGGATTCTGACCCCTGTGTGACTAGGAACCCTTGATTAAGAGTTCTCCAAGGGCTGGGGCCAGCAGCTGACATAGTGGTTATGTCACAGGACTCCCATGTGTCCGACTGCGATTTGAGTCCCAGACCTAGTGGCTTGAAAATCACACATCAGGTGCGTGTGCGTGCGTGCCCAAAATCCAGGGAGGAGAATGGAGAAGTGATTATGGCGTGGCCATTTCCCCCCCCACCCCCCGGGGGTGATTTCCCACTTTCCCTCTCACTGTCTTTGTCTCTCTCTCCCTGCCAAGTGCACATGCCCTAAGACAAAACAAACACACAAACAAAAACAACAACCAGAAAAACCAAAAAAAAAACCCCAAACTCTTAAAAACAAAACAACAGTTCTCCAAGGGTAGAAACAATGTTTCTCCCTCCAAACCAGGAACTGCCCTGGGCAAAGAGGAAGCTTGGCTATATCATTTCATCTGTCTGCCTGTTGCTGACCCCAAGTCCTGCCAGTTCAGGGGAATCTTTATCTACAGAGGTTTTCCAGCAGTCTCTCCTCTTCCCTAAGCCTTGATAGTAAGCGAACAAATCTGAAGGTTCTTTCTGGATTTTTCTAGTTCTCCTTGTTTGTCCCAATCCTACCTTCACGCTTTCTGGAGACCCAGGAGCCACCTATGGTGTAAGGACAAATATAACCCACTCTTCAGTTTATGGGGACAGGATAGGTCTCATAGTGCCAGCCACTGAGGTCATACACTCTCCAGGGTGAGAGAGAAAGAGAGAGAGAGAGGGAGAGAGAGAGAGAGCGCTCTGCCCCAAAACCAAGCTAAGCTGCTTGGATGAAGCTGTTAGAATTTGAGAAAGAGAAGGAAAAATTAATAGTGAGCAAGAAACACAAATCTCTTTGCTTTCCTGAGACTGTGGGTGGGTGGCTCTCTGTGGAACTGTAATCCTTTGGGAACTTTAGTGAATCAGGTTCTCCAGGGTATTTCCCCAGGTGTGAGGTTGTGCTGTGGAACGTATTAAGCTTCTGGCAAGGTCAACCACAGGAACAGATGCTAGGCTAGTGCCCAGAGGCCCTGCTGTCCCAGGGGCTACTGCTTTGGTTGCTGGATCTGGGGAAGTCTGGAGATCTTAGGGAAGGGCCCTGGGCAACAGCCACCTATTATCTGGGACTGAAGTATCTCCATATTTTAATATCTGATATAACTGTATTGGTGATCATTGGAAGTATCATCTCGATTTAAGCCTGAGAGCACCCAAGGTCTCTCGGAAGCTAACCCAGACCACTAGCCTGGTAGAGTAACAGATGTTTAGTGGGCATCAGGCAGTGTGGGTGAGGATGGACTGCCCAAGGTGAGAGTAACAGATGTTTAGTGGGCATCAGGCAGCGAAGGTGAGGATGGTCTGCCCAAGGTAGCCAGGGAGCTTGGCTGCATCTGAGCTCAGGGCAGTGACTCCGGGAGAGCTGTCCCCATCTCCAAGAAAGCAAAGGGATGACCCCACCCCAGGCAGGCGGGGCAGGGCAGCAACTCACAGCAGGCTTGCGGGGGGCAGCCCCTTGGGGTGAGTGTGGGGGAGAGAGGGTCATCCTCACGAGCACAGGCATCTCGTCGTCCGACATGGAGCTGGCTGGCTTGTCTCTGGCGGAAGGGGCGGCAACGGCGCTGTTGGTGAACCCCTGAGAGCTGGGCTTGGGCGGGAGAAGCTTGACAGGGACAGACACGGGCATGACCATAGGCGTGAGGCTTTCTGCCTCGGGAGGGAGCTGCGGCGGAGGCGGAGGCGGAGGCGGCAGTGGCGGCTGGGGCTGAGGCGGTGGAGCCTTCTCTCCTTCCTCCTACACAGACAATAAAGGCTTTGATCCTGGGCTGAGAGCAGCTCTCACAAGCACTCTGCTTTTCCTGAAAGGTTCCAGGACATCGGGCATGGGTGACAGAGAGCCACTGCAGGGTGGTTTCCCTCCTGCAACTCTGTGTCTCTCGGCCCAGGGGATGCCAGCTGGGAGAGGACAAGACCATCCATTGTATTTCTACATTTAAAACATCTTGACCATGTGTCACTTGTTGGGTAAAATATTCCTTTTTCTTGTGGTAGTCATTTCTATTACAGAAAAGGACACGGACTCATAACCAGTCAATAATAAAAAATTTTAAAAAAAGAGTATGATCTTGTGCAGGAGCTTTTAATTCTATGGGTTTCTGTTTATTTATCTGTCAAATGGAAATTGACATTCCATTCTAAATTTTATTCAGGTTAAGAAACCGCATGGAAAATGCACAACATGTTGCTTTTTAAAAAGTAGAGACAAAAACTCTTTGATCTGGCATGGCCAGGAAGTCGAGTGATTTGGGGAATCTAAAATTTAGGATAACAGAAAGTTAATCCCATAGATTTAAATTAAGATCAACAATATTCAAAGAATTCTGAGAACATTCTTTGAATTTTAATCTAACTCTAAAACTCATGGATAGTTTACCACCTGGATAATCCGGATGGTATTTAAGGATCTTTGGATGCTAGAGCCAAACCCCATTGCGCTGGTGGACAGAAAATTCTGGCCGAGTCCGATGGTTATATCAGCTTTGCCTGGCCATTGCACGCTGACCTGGAAGGTCCAAGTGGTCCTGATCAACACTTCTAGGTGCTGCAGGCAGCAGAAGTTTAAAAATAATATTCTATTTCCATGTTTTCCTTTGCTATCTTCTTCAGGGGACAGAGAGGTCAGGATCCCTTAAAAGGATTTCTAGCACCTCCGTTTTGGACCTTTGTTCATAAAACCAGAAAGGCGGGGGCTGTTTGACCTGGCTGGCTTCCAGTGTCAAAGCTCAGGCATTCCCATCGTGGGAGGGCCGTGCCTCCCCAGGTGCCCCGTGGGGCTCACATCACGCTATCTAAAGGCAGCAAAGCAAAGCAAGCAGCACATGGCCTGGGAAGGACTGGGGATGGGCTCCTGCTGACCTGTTTGAGGCTGGGGGAGGCTCTCATTCCCCCATGGGACCGCATGTGGCCATTCAGGGCAGGCAGGCTCTTGAACTCCTTCAGGCAGATGGAACACGTCAGCTTGTTCTTGGCATCAAACTGTTCCCCAAACACTCCTTTGGGTTGGCCACTGCTCAAGGGTAGGGTCAAAGAGGGAGGACACACACATGTTGAAGAAAGGGAAATAGCAATTTACCGGAAGACCTCCAGACCCACAATGAGCCCAATGTATTCATCCAATGCGCCCATGTCCCTGGCCCTACTTGCACCATCCCAACACCTTTGAGAATTACGCCCAATTCACAGAAGAAAAATGGAGGCTCAGGGTGGGAAAGGGCTTTCTTAATGTCACACAAGAGTTAAATAAAATGGCATTTATTTCAGGCCTTCAGGCACTGGGTCTTTCCATCTATGGCTTATTACCCTTCCAGGTCAGCTTGAACACACCTCCTCCAGAAGCCTTCCCTGGGAGATTGCTTGTCTAAGTCCTGTGGGGAGCTTCCACATTGCATGTTTCAGAGTTTATCAGGTTCTGGCTACATTTTTTTTTTTTTTCTAAAGAGAGATTTTTGCTATAGGGTGCATTTGCTCACCAGAGAGTCAGAAAGCGAGAAGTCACCCTCCAGGGGAGACGGCCACACCACAATCCTTTTCCTCTGTTCTCCTCTCAGGATATTAGGCACGTGCACGCACCCAGCGTGAGTTTCAAGTTGCCAGGTCTGGGACTCGAACCACAGTTGACTATGTCCAGCAACATAACCGTTACGCCATCTGCTGGTCCCAGGTTCAGGCTAAATCTTTAATTAGATATTTACCATGCCCTTGAGGGGAGGAAGCAAGTCTACACTATTCACTGGTGGATCCCCAAAGCCTAGCTCTATGCCCAGCACACAACAGACACTCAATAAATCCTCACTGAATGAATGGATGGATAGTGGTCAGAACAGGGGCTTTGGAGACAATCCTACTATTTGATGTGTAATCTTGAGCTCTCTGAGCCTCGCTTTGTCATTTGCAAAATAACAGCTGATATTTATTGAGTACTTACTGTTGGGTTGTCGGGAAAATCATGATGCATTTTTGCAAAGAAAAATACATCACGACTTTTCTGACAACCCAATATTTACTAGCACGTGGGAATCACACCTACCTCACTGGGCGACTCTACTTCACATAATACATAGTGCCTAGAACATAGTAAGCACCCCAACATAAGAGCTGCTATTATTATTCCTGTATATTTCTTTGAAAAATTGACTTTGAATTTGGAACCAAATCATGACAGACAACCCAGGAGAAACTCCCAGTCCACCAGTCTCTCCAAACACCAGCAAACCTTCACCCATCCTACCTTGACTCGGGGGACCCAGGCTGGACTCTCCCATCAGGTAGGTGCATCTAATTTTGAGCCAAGCAGATCACCGAAAAAAAGAAGAAAGAGAAAAAAAAAATGCATTTCTGAAGGAACAAGTCCTCAGGTGGAGGAAACAGCAGGGACTACCCTTCTAAGCCTCTTTTTTTTTTATTAAATAACTTTTTAAATAAATTTTAAATTTTATTTAACTCTATTTATTATAATTTGACCAGAGAGGAATAAGAGAAAGAGAGAAAGCAAGCCACCAGTTCCAGGACTTGAACCGTGGTCAGCCATGTGGGAGTCCAGGGCCCTCAACCACGCCCCTGCTGGCCCCTCAAGCCTCTTGCTACATGCCTGGCACTGACCTCTCCACCCACGCCTCTGCTCTTTCTTACCTGATTTCCCTTAACTGCTCTCTGACTTGATGCCACCACCCCAGTCCTGGAGCTGCTGCCAGCCCAAGCCCACCAGGGTGCAAGCTCACACTTTGATCCCTCCTGCTCCCCCAGTGCACCCACTCCATGCACAGACAGGCTCCATGGCCACAAGGGACACAGAAAGCACTGGCTGACACAGCATCATGCCGGGAGACCTGCTTTTTTTTATCTGTGGCCATGTCATCTCATTCTCACACTCACAAAGGCTCTCAGTCACTCCCGGGTCAGAGCCCACAAAACGAGGTCAAGGGAAGTTTGCCTCTGGTCTCTCCTCTCCATGAGAGCCCTGTCCCACCCAACCAGTTCCTCTCTGGGGTCCCCTCCTTCCCAGACCCTGTTGTCATGTGAGAATAAGATGCCAACGTGTGAACAGTGCCCAGCACACAGTAGGTTTGTTTGTGGTCAAATATCTTGGAGAATTAATCAAAGGGTAGTGACCACAACCCACAGGCAGAATCTGGCCTGCAACCATGTTTTGTTGGGCTCCACTGTTTTAAAAATTCTGAATGAGAATGCCATTAGACGGAGCATCAGCCCTTTAGTCTACCAGTTACCACCAGTCTCTACTGTCTCATAACAGCCCACTTTGCTTAGTCATTTAACTAGCCTGGATCCTGTGGGCAGCCAAAGTTTTTGTCTCTGAAATACCCATAGTGTCTCCTTTGGAGATTCACTGGCAATATTAAAAGCCCTAAGAAGCCCTGCAGTATAACAATGTTTCTCTCTCTCTCTTTCTTTTTTTTTTTGCTATGGGTATGTGTGCTCACCAGACACAGAGAGAGAAAGAAGGAAAATGAGAAATCACCTCCGAGAGGGAGTGGCCAAGCCACTCTTCCATTCTCCTCTGGGGATTCTTGGCACGTACACACATGCACCCAGCATGATTTTCAAGCTGCTGGGTCTGGGACTCAAACTGTGCAGCTGGACATGTGGGATCTAGCATCCTAATCTCCATGCCACCAGCTGGTCCAGTAAAATTTCATTTTAAGAAATATATTAACCCAATATTGTTTCCGGCGTCATAGCCACTAAACATTCTGTGGAACTGCGGTTCTGAGCAAAACACTTTCGAGAAATGCTGCCCTAATGTGGTTTCCCTTCCAAATACGGACCTATTTCATAGGGAAATAGATCCAAAGAGGGTGAGACACCCCCACTGTGTGATCCCCTAGCACCTGACTCCAGGTCTTAATCATTACATGAATCATTTAGGACATGATACGGTATTCTGGCCATCTACTTAGTAAGATTATAAGGTCCATGGGCAAAGAACTGAATCAACTTATTTTGCATTCCAAGCGCTTGGCACAGGCATGGTACATGTGGCTTAACATTTGTGAAATGAATAAAGAACGGAAGGGTTGAAGGAATGGGAAGAAGATTGGGCCCTCCCAAAACTCAGCCCTAGCCGAGCCTATAGCACACTGAGATATCGGGAGAAACTCCCACAGGGAGAATACCTGGGGCCACATGGCACTGGGAGACAGCTGCTGATGCTGGGGTCCCATGTTGTTGAGGTGGGCTCCACTGGGGGACAGGAGCGGCCGATGAGGGAGGGCGCTGCTGACCCGGGTCAGGTCTGAGCTTGCTGGGTCTCCCATCCCTGTATCAGGAGGCCCCAAGTCCCCATGGGAGCTCAGCATGGCCTGGGCCGGCCTGTCGCTAGAGTAAGTCTTCAGCTGACTGTCTTCACGCTGCTGGTGCTGGGGCAGGTGGCTCTGCTGGTAGAGAGGGTGGCTGTAGGGCTGTTGGGGCTCCTGGTAGTAGTACTGGGGCATGGAGCCCAGCTGAATCAGCTGGACAGCGTGTGCCTGCTCCGGGGTATACTGGTGAGGGTCCCTGTGGTACGAAGGGGGCTGCAGGTGCATCTGTTGCTGCTGCTCTTGCAAGTGCTGCATCATGGGTTGGGACTGGTAATACTGAGGTATCTGCATTGACCCCTGCCGCGGCTGCAGCTGGAGCTGCTGCTGCTGCTGCTGCTGCTGCTGCTGCTGCTGAGGCTG